GTTCAGCTTACTCTTGATGTGGGATTTTTTTAATTCTTCCCCCCGAGATGATGACAATTTTATGGTCTATCCATCTCGAATTGAATCCCACTCTAGGACAACCTACATATTGATATATCATGGTTTTTATGGTTTTAAACCATGGTATAGGTCTTATTTATAGAGTCTTTCTAGTGTTTTTTGAGTCTTTTAGAGTCTTTACAGGTCATAGGTACGTTTGGAGCTTAACTGGAGATTTTGGAGCACTTTGGAGCTTAATCAGAATCAAATTCGTTAAGGATGGATTTTGTGCTTTAGTGTCGCTCGACATCATGGAGAGTGACGCTCGACACTTATCAAAGAAATAAGGAAAAGGCAATTTTGTTTCCTGTTAGAAGAAGGAGTTGGGCCCAGAAGTTTCCAAATAATTCCAAGAAGGCCCAAAACGTGTTTTAGAGACATATATATAGGATTTTTTTTCCCTTTTTATCGAGACCTTAGATTTTTGAAAGAGAGATACTCTGAGTTTTTGCTTTGTGCGATTTTGAGAGCTAGGGGAGACAAGTCTGAACTCTGTCCGTTTAGAGAGAAGATTTCGAACCCCTTTATTTATTTTATTTATCTTATTATTGCAATCTATTCAATCATGTGTGTTGTTTCAATATCCATGTCTGAGTAGATCACCTGTTAGGTTTAGGGTTTAACTAGGGTTTTCTTTGAATTTTTGATTAACTTGCTAGTTAGGGTTCATATCTGTTAGTTCTTCACCATAGGTTATGCTTAAAGCTAATTCTGGACTGATCACCTAGAACTTAGATCTTAGGTTGCTTAATTGACACGGAAGTGTAATTGAATAACTGGAAAGAACATAGGATGAGCAAAGTAGCTATTCGCAAAGGAATTTGGTTTAGATGCTTTGTGAACATATTGAACTTGTGCATTAAAGCTGGTTTAAATCTGTAGGATTTACAAAGGAATTTGGAATTCTAGGATTTTAACTTAGATAATTCTCACAACGGAAGTTGGTTAATTATAATTTTGTGTTTCGAGTTCTAGAACCGTACTTAAACCTGAACTCTGATTAGTCAAGTTGATCTGCATTCATTGATTTCCTGAAAAACGCCGTAGACCTAATCTCCATCCATCTGAATCTTACAAACCGTTTTTACTGGTGCTTAGTTTATTTCTGTTGCATTGCTATTTATTTCCAATATTTTTGCTTAGCGTAATTCGATCTCTTTAAGGTTTATTGAGTGATCTCTTGTCTCTGTGGTTCGACCCCTACATACTACAACTGCACATTTGTGCTCTTGCAGAGTAGCTTAGGGATTAAACTTTGAGCAGATCAAGTTTTGGCGCCGTTGCCGGGGACTTGATTTCGCCATTAAACCTAGTTTTTGAGTTTCGACTAAGTTTTTCTTAGTGTCGAGCGACACCAATTGTGGTGTCGCACGACACCTTTCGTTTTTATAACCTAATTTACTTATTTCGTTTTCTCTCTTTGTCTTTTGTGCTTCAGGTTTATGCACACTCGTGGAACCGGAAGCAACAAAGACATCCCGCTAGTGAAATTGAGCAACGAGGAGCTAGCAGAGTTAGAGCGAACGAACAGAGGCAAAGCAACCGGCAGAGATGGAGAACGCAAACGAACTTGTGCGTGATGATGCTGGTATCTGGAGAGACCAAGATGGTCACGTGTGCAATGAGAGAGGCCAAAGACTTGATGGAGATGGTACCATCATTCCACCAGCACCTTTACCGGTGAATGTTGTTAACCAGAACCCACCACCTGCACCGCGTGGTAATGCTGTGATCATTCCAAATCATAGGAATGCTCCAGAAGAACAGAACGTGATGGAACCTGCACCTGCAGCTGGTCGTGGAAGAACGCTTGGGGATTACAACAGGCCTGAGCAGTTCTATGCAAATCGATCTGCGATTCGCGCTCCTGCGTTTCAAAGGAACAATTTTGAGCTGAAACCTGTGTACTACACTCTTGTGGGTCAGCATCTCTTTCATGGTCACTCTCATGAGCACCCTATGGATCACATCGAGAGGTTTGAGGACTTGGTCACCAGCATCAAATACAATGGAGTGTCCAATGATTTCCTCCTCTGCAAGCTGTTTCCTTATTCTCTTGTTGGAGAAGCAGCTAACTGGCTGAAGCAGTTGGAGCCAGAATCACTCACTACTTGGGAGGAAACCAGGAATGCCTTCCTGCACAACTTCTTCGATGATGCTAGGTCTGAGGAATTGAGAACAAAAATCTCGACATTCTCTCAAGGACCTACTGAGGCGTTCAAGGCTTCTTGGGTGTGATTCAAATCGTACCAGCGAGACTGCCCTCATCATGGTTTCAGCGATGTGCAGCTGTCAGGAAGGGCAGGATCGCTCTGAATGTTAGAAGGAGTGTTGGAAGATGTTCCAATCAAGATTGGAGACTGCATGATTCCGACTGACTTTGTGGTTCTGGAATATGGAGAGGAGCTTAAGGATCCTCTTATCCTTGGGAGACCTTTTCTAGCTACATGAGGTGCAATCATCGATGTCAGGAAGGGCAGGATCGCTCTGAATGTTAGAGATCTGGTGATGAACTTCGATGTGGACAAGCTAATGAAGAAGCCCACCATCGATGGTCAAACATTCTATGTGGACACACTCACAGAATTTGCAGAGGAGATCTTCCATGAGATGCTACCCACAGACCCACATGAGAGAGCTTTGACCACATCTGCAACTGAAGCTGAGCACTTGGACGAAATTTCAGCATCTTACTTGAAGATGTTGGATTCCAGCGAGCATGTAATGCAGCTGGCAGCGCAGATAGATCAACTTGTGCCTCCTGCAAAGGCCAGGCAATTCTCCGACTAGAGTGAGGAGAAGGCGCCCAAGATCGAGTTCAAACAGCTCCCTACAAGACTAAGGTATGCATTTTTAGGATCTAATTCCACTTATCCAGTCATTATCAATTCTTCTTTGAACAATGCAGAGGTTACCTTACTACTGAGCAAGCTGCACAAGCATCGCAAAGCTTTTGGCTATTCTCTTGATGATATTTCAGGTATCTCACCAGATCTGTGCATGCATCGAATTCACCTGGAGGATGAGTCGAAGTCATCGATCGAACACCAGCGCAGGTTAAACCCTAATTTGAAAGACGTGGTCAAAAAGGAGATCATGAAGCTGTTGGAAGCTGGGATCATCTATCCAATTTCAGATAGTGATTGGGTCAGTCCTGTGCATGTGGTTCCTAAGAAAGGAGGAGTTACAGTTGTGAAGAATGACAAAGATGAGATGATCCCAACGCGTACAGTGACTGGACACAGGATGTGTATCGATTACAGGAAGCTGAATGCAGCAACCAGGAAGGATCACTTTCCATTGCCCTTCATTGATCAGATGCTGGAGACTTGCAAAACATCCCTATTACTGCTTCCTCGATGGGTACTCAGGATTTTTCCAGATCCCGATTCACCCAGATGATCAGGAGAAGACCACCTTTACATGTCCATATGGCACTTTCGCATATCGCAGAATGCCCTTTGGACTTTGTAATGCTCCTGCGACTTTTCAGCGATGTATGATGTCCATCTTCACTGACATGATTGAGGATTTTATGGAGGTCTTTATGGATGCTTTCTCAGTTTACGGATCATCTTTTAAAGCCTGTCTGGACAATCTCTGCAAGGTGCTGGCTCGATGTGAAGAGAAACACTTGGTCCTTAACTGGGAAAAATGTCATTTTATGGTCAGAGATGGGATTGTGCTTGGACACAATGTTTCTGAAGCTGGTATCGAAGTGGATCGTGCGAAGATTGACGTCGTGATGAGTTTGCAACCACCTGATTATGCAAAATCGGTTAGAAGCTTTCTGGGTCATGCAGGGTTCTATCGTCGATTTATCAAGGACTTCAGCAAGATTGCATGTCCTCTTACTGCTCTGCTATGCAAATGTGTCAAGTTTGATTTTACAGACGAATGCTTTGCCGCGTTTAAACAGATCGAACAAGCTTTGATAAGCGCCTCTATTGTGCAGCCTCCTGACTGGAATTTACCTTTTGAGGTGATGTGTGATGCCAGTGATTTTGCTGTTGGTGCTGTTTTTGGACATAAGAAGGACAAGAAGCTTCATGCAGTCTACTATGCCAGTCGAACTCTGGATGATGCTCAAAGAAACTATGCTACTACTGAGAAGGAGTTGTTGGTTGTGGTCTTTGCTTTTGAGAAATTTTGACCCTACCTTGTGGGATCGAAGGTTATTGTGCACACAGATCATTCTGCACTCAAATACTTGATGCAGAAGAAGGATGCAAAGCCAAGGTTACTGCGATGGGTTTTACTTCTTCAGGAGTTCGATATTAAGGTCAGAGATAAGAAGGGTGTTGAGAATGGTGTTGCAGACCATCTCTCACGCATCAGGGTTGAAGAAGACGTACCCATAGATGATTGATTTTCTGCCAGAGGAGAATGTATACTATGTGGAAACTGGGTTCCAGAGCAGATTTGACGAAGAATTGCAGGCTTTTCTAATTGGAGAAACGTTAGTGTCGAGCGACACCACCACTAGTGTCGCGCGACACCTTGCGCAGCAGAACACAGAGACTTCTCAAATTCGAAGCAGAATTCCTGAGATCAGTTCAGCTGCTGTATCTGCCACCCAACGTCCTTGGTATGCTGATATTGCCAATTATCTCGCTGCAGAGGCTGAGCCTGAGAACTTTAAGGGCTACGCGAAGAAGAAGTTCCTGAGAGAGCTGAGGAGATATCACTAGGATGATCCATATCTGTACAAGCACTGTTCTGATGGGATTTACAGAAGATGTATTGCAGAGTCAGAAGTTCCAGAGGTGATGTTTCATTGTCATTGATTTGAATATGCTGGATACTTTGCGACCTTCAAAACAGTGTCTAAAGTTCTTCAAGCAGGCTTTTGGTGGCCTACAATGTTTCGTGACGCGCATGCCTTTATCTCGCAGTGTGATGCTTGTCAGAGGAGAGGGAAGATCAGCAAGTGACATGAGATGCCACAGAATTTCATCCTTGAGGTTGAAGTATTCGATTGCTGGGGTATCGATTTCATGGGTCCTTTTCCCTCTTCTTATGGTAATAAGTACATCCTGGTTGCTGTTGATTATGTTTCTAAGTGGGTCGAAGCCATTGCCAGCCCCACCAACGATTCTTCAGTGGTTCTTAAGATGTTCAAGACCATCATCTTCCCTCGATTTGGAGTTCCTCGAATTGTTATAAGTGATGGTGGTTCTCACTTTATTAACAAGGTTTTCGAAAAACTCATAAGGAAGCATGGAGTTCATCATCGAGTTGCAACTCCTTATCACCCTCAGACGAGTGGACAGGTTGAAGTCTCGAATCGACAGATCAAGGAAATCTTGGAGAAGACAGTGGGTAAAACTCGGAAGGACTGGGCTGCGAAGTTGGACGATGCACTCTGGACGTACAGGATAGCGTTCAAAACACCTCTAGGCACCATGCCTTTCCACCTGCTCTATGGAAAACCCTGTCACCTTCCAGTGGAGATCGAACACAAGGCAGCTTGGGCGATTAAGATGATGAACTTCGACATCAAGTCTGCTGCAGAGAGGAGACTGATACAGCTGAATGAGTTGGACGAAATCAGGCACCATGCCTATGAGAATTCGAAGCTGTACAAGGAGAGGACCAAGGCATATCACGATTCGAAAATCCTCTCCAGGCAATTCGAGCCGAACGACTAGGTACTCCTGTATAACTCTTGTTTGCAACTGTTTCCTGGTAAACTGCGCTCTCGTTGGTCAGGTCCTTTTATAGTCAAGGAGGTTCGACCCTATGGTGCCATCGTCCTCCTCACACCAGATGGCAGCAGAGAGTTCACAGTGAATGGACAAAGGGTGAAACACTACTGGGCCAAAGCTGAGATTCCAGATGGACACATCGTTCCTCTGGATGGTGCACCTCTTGCCTGAATCTCCATCAAGTCAAACTACTGACTTTAAACAAGCGCTTGGTGGAAGGCAATCCACTGGTAAGTCTGTACATAAGTCCTTTTGTTTCTACTAACTTTTGTTTTTTCGTTTTTCGTTTTTGTGTTTTTGGTGAAGCAAAGGCTGGTGTCGAGCGACACCACCATCGGTGTCACTTGTCACTTGACTCAATATAAAAAAAAAAAAATTGGGAACTCAGGAAACCGGAGTCAAACCAGAAATTCGGATTGGTCAGTTGTAATTCGGTACGAAGAGAAAAGTGTCGCACGACACCATCATCAGTGTCGCGCGACACCATCATTGCAGCCAGGTAAGTTCTCCGTTTTTCCTGTGTTTCTCTGTTTCTTTTCTTTTGTTTCGCCAACTTCGGACTAGATAACACTGGGGACAGTGTTGTTTAAGTCTGGGGGAGGTAGTTGCTGACATTGTGTTTGTTTTTCTTAAGAGTCAGTCGTGTCAAAACATTTTTGATTCAAAACTTGTTGGAGATTATGATGCTTTTCCTGGAATTATTGTGTTGACATTTCATCTAAGTGACCACTGCTGCAGATTCAGTCTAGGTCCGACTAATGAAAAATTCAAAGGCTGACCAGTTGACTAGAAGCGTCTATGTTTCCAACAGAATCCACTAACCTGAGCTAATTTCTTAAATCTTTCTTTTACCTCATTGATGTGACTGATGTTCATAGAGCTTGATTCCTCGTTCATACTTGACAAGTGAAAGCCTGTGTGAAATCTAATGTTGGTGCTTCTCTCCCTGTGACGAGCTTAAAGAAAAAAAAATGAAGAAAGAAAGAAAAGGGCGAAAAGATTGAGATGATTTTTGCTTAGGAGTGAAGGGCTAGAAAAATTTCCAAGGATCCCATTATTTCACTTCTAAGTTGGAATGATCACACAAAGGAAGGAAGTGAGGGGTAGGAAAGTTTCCTATGACCCCACTATTCGCTGAAAACCTTTGATACAAGGTAAGGGGACAACTCGGGGATTCAATGGCAAACACCATCAGTACTCGCAGCTTTACCCTTATGGAGTATATGCCATAAAAAAAAAGATGATGAGTGTTCGAAAAGAATAAGTCTGGGGGAGAGAAAAAGTACCAAAGTGTGTATGGCTGATTTGTTTGAGTGTAGTACGGGAAAAGAATCTAGAAGGTTCTTGGCATCTGAATCATCAGTGAGACCCAGCGATGAGGGTTTATGGACAATGTTGTGGAATTTTGGACTTAATCTGGAACGCTGTGAATGTCTGCGGAGAAGTACATGGTGGTTCGATTTGGAATGATGAAGCAGTAGTTGAGTTGCAGGGTAATTGGTCAAAAGCGATGTTTCAGTGAAAGGTTGAGTCTCTGTGTTTTCAAACCTCTTTCTCTTATTTGGTGTTCTGTTTGCTTGAGGGCAAGCAAATGCTAAGTCTGGGGGAGTTGATATATCATGGTTTTTATGGTTTTAAACCATGGTATAGGTCTTATTTGTAGAGTCTTTCTAATGTTTTTCGAGTCTTTTGGAGTCTTTACAGATCATAGGTACGTTTGGAGCTTAACTGGAGATTTTGGAGCACTTTGGAGCTTAATCAGGATCAATTTCGTGAAGGATGGATTTTGTGTTTTAGTGTCGCTCGACACCATGGAGAGTGACGCTCGACACTTGTCAAATAAATAAGGAAAAGGCAATTTTGTTTCCTGTTTGAAGAAGGAGTTGGGCCCAGAAGTTTCCAAATAATTCCAAGAAGGCCCAAAACGTGTTTTAGAGATATATATAGGATTTTTATTCCCTTTTTATCGAGACCTTAGATTTTTGAGAGAGAGATACTCTGAGTTTTTGCTTTGGGCGATTTTGAGAGCTAGGGGAGACAAGTCTGAACTCTGTCCATTTAGAGAGAAGATTTCGAACCCCTTTATTTATTTTATTCATCTTCTTATTGCAATATATTCAATCATGTGTGTTGTTTCAATATTCATGTCTGAGTAGATCACCTGTTAGGTTTAGGGTTTAACTAGGGTTTTCTTTGAATGTTTGATTAACTTGCTAGTTAGGGTTCATATCTGTTAGTTCTTCACCATAGGTTATGCTTAAAGCTAATTCTGGACTGATCACCTAGAACTTAGATCTTAAGTTGCTTAATTGACACGGAAGTATAATTGAATAACTGGAAAGAACCTATGGTGAGCAAAGTAGCTATTCGCAAAGGAATTTGGTTTAGATGCTTTGTGAACATATCGAACTTGTGCATTAAAGCTGGTTTAAATCTGTAGGATTTACAAAAGAATTTGGAATTCTAGGATTTTAACTTAGATAATTCTCACAACGGAAGTTGGTTAGTTATAATTTTGTGTTTCGAGTTCTAGAACCGTACTTAAACCTGAACTCTGATTAGTCAAGTTGATCTGCATTCATTGATTTCTTGAAAAACACCCTAGACCTAATCTCCATCCATCTGAATCTTACAAACCGTTTTTACTGCTGCTTAGTTTATTTCTGTTGCATTGCTATTTATTTCCAATATTTCTGCTTAGCGTAATTCGATCTCTTTAAGGTTTATTGAGTGATCTCTTGTCTATGTGGTTCGACCCCTACATACTACAACTGCACATCTGTGCTCTTGCAAAGTAGCTTAGGGATTAAACTTTGAGCAGATCACATATTCAGTGAGCTTTAAACCAAAAGAAATGGGGATCCATCCATGGATGTTATTCACGATGGCTTTATTTCTTTTTTTTTTTCTTTATGACATGCAAAGTTGAAAAAGCTTCTGATTTTTCAACATGTATTCTCAATGATCTTATATCACTGGAATTACCGAGATGGCTTAACCGGTTTATTCAATTAGTAAAACTTCAGGTTTACTTTTGTATATACTATTGCCATCTTTCCTTTATTATCACAAATATACATGTCACCATCGTGTGCTCTTTTGGAGTATTTTTTATTTCTCTTCCAGAGCTTCTAGCTCTTCCGGAGCTTCTAGCTATTACGGGACTTTTAGCTATTCCGAAGCTTCTAGCTCTTACGGGGCTTTTAGCTCTGGTAAAGTTTCCATAGGTTTTGAAGACGCTGAGTCTTCTACTCCATAAAATATGAACAATGAGGAAGTTTACCGTCCACTCCACCATTTCGTGTTCATGGAGGAGGCTTTACCTTCCACTCCATAAAATTTTTTTAAGGAGGAGGATTAAACCATCAACTCCATAATTTTATGATCACGGAAGAAGTTTAACCCTTCTATTCCATAAATATATGATCAAGGAGGATGCATAACCTTCTACTCCATAATATTAGTAGGGAGGAGATTTAATCTTCCACTTTACAAATATAAATATAAATGTAAAAAAATAAATATGGATTAGGAGGAGGATTAACCTTCAACTCCATAAATAAAAATAAACATAGAATAAACAAGAAGTAAGCACAACCTACCATTCCATAAACATAAATAAGGAGGAGGATTTATCTTCTACTCCATAAAAATATGATTAAGGAGGAGGTTTAAACCATCAACCCCGTAATTTTTTCATGGAGGAGGTTTAACCTTCTACTCCATAAAATATGAACAAGGAGACATAGTCTACAATAAATAGTTTTTTTTTTCGGAGAAGGCATAGCCTATCTTTCCGAAAAGTAATACATAAATGGAGAAGAGATAATCGAAAAACAAAAAAATTTAAAACAGTTAAGGAGGCATAGCCTACCATGAAAAGGAGGAGGCATAGCCTACCATAGATTTTGAAGAGGCAGAGCCTACCATTGATTTTAAAGAGGCAGAGCCTACCATTGATTTTGAGGAGGCAGAGCCTACCATTCCATTTATAATATATAAACTTTAAATGATAATATGAATATAAATATTACCTTCAAAATGAAGGGAGAAATGATCTTGTTTTCTGTATACGAACGAGCAAGTAGAGAGTCGTGCTGATAACGTGTGAAAAACAATTTCGGAAATTCGTTCGTATATAAGCAAAAACTAGAGAAGAAAGACTTATAGAAAGAGAGTTAGAGAGTGATGAAGAACAATATCAAAGATCTCTTATGATTTCTCTCACTAGAATCATATGTTTACAAAGCCAAGCCCACCTATATATAGTAGAGAAGTTTGGAGACAAAGTTTTTGAAATTTGGGCACAAAATGATCTAAGGGGATGAATGTCTAAGGAGGATGAATGTCCAAAACGGATGAATACTTAGAAGCTAAGAAGCTTAGGGAGAAAGCTATCCAAATGTATAATCAATATATGTATAACATATACAAAAATCTAAGTGTGAAATTTAGCAACTACCATCATGGAGTAAATAAAGAGTAAATAAAAAAAAGTAAATGTATGAGATAACCTCAATACTATTCATAATTAGGAAAATAGGAAAGCGTATTGTACATTTTTCATTAATACACTATTACCCCTATATTATCTTATCCCCTATATACCCATCTCTCTAACTCTCTTTATCACCTATCTCTTTCTCTCTCTCACCTATTTCTTTCTCTTCCTCACTACAATTTGAAGCGATGAACAATTTGTTGTTGTCTCTCTTCCTCAATCGTTTCAATACGTACCTGCTTGGGTTCGATTTGGATTTTCATCGACGACCTCAAACAGCTGTGGACCATCCCGATCGGTCCATAGATCGAATCCGCTGGGTTTCTGAAATCGGTCCGCGAGGACCTTGACTTTCTCGTCGGCACATATGGAGAATAGATTTGGTGGCTTCTGAACCGGCTCCCATGGCCGCTCAAGCTCGGCCACTGCCGCCTTGAGCTCGGCTCGTTTCTGCATCTCGTAAATCTGGCGTTCACGAGATATATGGGATAGACGCGCCTTGAAGAACCGTTTCTGTTTTTTCGCCTGCATCTTCTTCCACTGCCACTTTGATACACCGCTGGGAAACGTCCTCGGACCGCTGCCTATACAGATAACCGTCGAAAATTGATGAAGAAGGTTTGTTTGTTTCCTCTTGTAATTTTATTGTTAGAATGCTAACATTACATCTAGAGTATTATATGTATTGTAGCGCACTAACTTCAAAAATAACATCTATAACAATATAGATAATTCATTATTGTTATCAATCTAACATATTTTTTACCAACATCGTAGCTCTAGCTAACATCGTAGCTTTAGCTAAGTATCAATGTATTAAAAATATAACATATTAGCAAATACAAATATTATGTTAGAGGTGATAAATAAATTGTTAGCGGATAAAAATAGTATATTCGAAATGATAAATAAAGTATTAGCGAATACAAATTTAGTGTTAGCAAGATAACATAATTTTTATTGATGTAAGTTTAGTGTTAACAAAATATCATAACATTTATCATGCTAACAAAGTATGTAGTATGATAACAATTTATGTAATTATATAACTTATATGTTAACGAAAGAAAGACGATGAGAGAGAAATTCCATACGGAAAAGAAAAACTCGTAACAAAAAGAATAGGTAAAGAGTTATAACACCCTCAAAGTGTCAGACCAATGTCACACTGTTTTTTCTATTTACCTAATTTTGATATTTTCTAGCAAATTGTCTCATAAAAAAAATGAAGATCCAATTCGTAATATAATTGGTTGAAATGATAATATTTGGCCCAAACAAAGCCTCTGATTGATTCAGAGACAACGAGAGAGAGGAAACATGAATAACTAAAACGTATATTTTCTCGTCTTTTTCTCGGGATTGATTTCAGTCTTCCATTACTCTCAAAGAAGAAGAAAGATCTGAGGTCGAATGGTCCAGGAGAAGAAGAATCTCTCTTAGATCGTTTGATCTGATCTTGATCTGACGACTAGTAGAAGAAGAAGAAGATGGGAATCCTTTTCACGCGGATGTTTTCTTCCGTGTTTGGCAACAAAGAAGCTCGTATCCTCGTCCTCGGTCTCGACAATGCTGGAAAAACTACAATCCTCTGTAAAACTCTCTGTCTCCATCTTTCTCATTTTGTCTCTCTCTATAGATACATTTGTTTGATTCAGTGACTAGGGTTTTCGATTCGACGTTATTGGTTTTTGAGTTTGAGTTGATTTTGTTTTTTGATCCTCTGTATTTTATTCCAGATCGGCTTCAGATGGGGGAAGTGGTCTCGACGATCCCGAGTATGTAACTTTTCTCTTGATTTTTGTAGAATTTTCTTCGGATCTAGTTGATGTTTGCTTCGGCTTTTAATTTCGTTTGTTTGCGGTTTTGATTTCTTCCGATCTGCAGCTATTGGGTTTAACGTCGAGACTGTGCAGTACAACAATATCAAATTTCAGGTCTGGGATTTAGGTACGTTTCTAAGAAATGTGTTCGAATGAGTAAGATGCTTTATCGAACACAAATTTTGAGGCACTAGAAATGATTTTTGGTATATAAGCATTATTAATTCAAATCAAACCACTCTCTGATGGATCCGTTTTGAGATTCTCTTAGTCACTTAGTCTCTTTCCATGTACGAATCACGTGAACTCATGACCAGAAATTTCCTGGATTTGAACCCCTTAGATATTATGATGATGAGTAGTTGCGGTACCTGTTCTAAGTGAGGCACTCGGAAATTCTTTAATGAGCTCTGTAATTTTCAATGTACCACATTTTTTTTGCTAGTTGAATTATTAGGATGTTTGTCTGTGGATGAATTACACAAACTCATGATTAGAAATTCCTTGATTTGGACCCCTTGATTATATATGCTTCATGCTGATGAGTTGTTACGGTATATGTGGCTATATTGAACAATTTTGTTCCTGTTGTTACCTTTTCTGAATGGTCTTGAAGAGGCAGTAGAAAATTCTTTATATTTGAATATGGGTTGATAAAGACCTCTGTTTTTTTTTTTTAATTTTAAAAAGGTGATAACTTGATGAGTACCACATTTTTCTTGCTATATATGCTCTTGATTGTTCTGCTTAAAATAAATGTACTGTTTGTTTATCAATCATGTTGCTCAGTGGATTCTTACATATGGTTGCTATTTTCCATGTGACAGGTGGCCAAACGAGTATCAGGTAGCGTAATGCCCTCTTTTCTCATTTCTAGAAACGATGAAAATTGCATCTTACTGTGAAGGCATGAAGAACATTAAAATGGCTCCATCAAGATTATTCGTTTTGTGTTTTTCCCAATTTTTTTAATGGTAATTGTTGACAGGCCATATTGGCGATGCTATTTCCCGAACACACAAGCAGTGATCTATGTTGTTGACTCGAGTGACACAGATAGAATTGGGGTGGCTAAAGAGGAATTTCATGCAATTTTGGAGGTAAACTGCTTCTGAAGCTTTCTTTTTTTTCATGCTGTTGTATTGTTTTAATGATGCGCTTCTAGCATCCAAATATAATTAATTAAAATCTTTTCTGCCGATGTACATTATAGATATATGATATTCGTTTCAGTTTCATGTTTGGGAACTGTGAAAAAGACGCTTGCAAGTTTCTCTATCAAGTACTCTTAGATTTTCAAACAGCCTTCTGATAGGTGACACGACTCAGTATCTAGTTAGTGCTGGATGGAGAGGAACAAGTGATCTTGTCTCTTTATAGATTTCACAATCCCAATTTTAAACTGTTCCAGTATGAAACAAAGCTTACTTGAGTATTCTTCTGCCACATCTAACATTGATTCTCTTTCAACCGTTTTATAGGAAGAGGAATTGAAAGGTGCAGTGGTTCTCATTTTTGCAAACAAGCAGGTTAGTTGTTTTGCATGCGTTATAAACATTTCTACTGATAAAAATTTATAACAATTAGTTTCTGAGTTTCGTTAAAATCAACTCCACAGGATCTTCCTGGTGCACTCGATGATGCGGCTGTGACAGAAGCCTTGGAGTTGCATAAGATAAAGAGTCGTCAGTGGGCAATCTTCAAAACTTGCGCTGTTAAAGGCGAAGGGCTTTTCGAGGGATTGGACTGGTAAGCACACTTATTTTGTTCTTTCACAACATGTTTGCATGCAAGAAAACAAACTCATATGATTGAAACTGAACAATATCTTTGAGCGTTTTTGGTTCTCAATTATTCTTTTTTCTTGTCCATCTTTGATCTTCAGGTTGAGTAATACACTGAAGTCGGGAAGTGGCTGAAAATGATCTTGATACACTTACTGGTCATCCCTCAACAATGTATCTTCTCTTCTTTACTTATTGGTTTGTTTAGTAATTTGCTTAGTTCTTCCATCTAAAGAGTTAAATATCAATGGCATGTTCACTTATTACATTTTTTTTTTGTTTCCTTTCGAGAGAGAAAAACTCTACACGGATTTGTTATTGGGACCCATAAGAGATATATCACCTTTTAACATGAAAATTGAAACCAATCCAGCCAAAAATACTAGTTAGGATTACTGACTTTTGGAGAAAAAAAACTAACAAACATATCTTGTGTTCTTTGTCTGCTTTTGCATTTGCTTATGTAATTGTATCTGTTTGATTAAAAATCGAATATGTACGTAAAGTTAATTTTAACTGATGGTGAACTATAACAGTTTGACAGAGATAGTAACCGCTATCGGCAAGCGCCATCAGTTTCTTTTCTTTGTGGGATAATCCTTCGAAAATTTGTTCTGCGAGATTTAATAAGATGATAACCCAAAACATTAATTAATTATTCAAATTAAATACTCCCTCTATTTCTTATTAATACAGTAGAAATTTCTATAAATTAATATTTGATAAATTAATAAATTCAATTAATTAATAAATATTTTTTGGTTTCAAATTTTAATTTTGGTCAAATTAATCTTTTTATAAATTAATAATTTGCTAGATTAATAAAATTTGAGAGTCTTAACATTATTAATTTATAGAGTTTTACAATTTTGATATATACGAATAAAATTTAATTTTTAAATGCTGATGTGGATGCTTTGAAATTAACATAGCTTTAATTTTTATTCATAATAGAATAGTTTTAATTAAAAAAAAATTTCTATATTGTTTTGTATTAATAATGTAATTTTATAATTTAGAATTTTTTTTTAATTTTAGTTATTGATGTACACTAATAAAATTGACTTTTTAAATCTTATGTGGATGTTTTTAAAGGCATATAGCTTCTATATTTATTTTTCTATAAACATATTTTTTGTTAACCATATAATTTTAAATTTTGAAAATTTTTCTAATTTTAAATATTGATTTAAACCAATCAAATTGAACTTTTACATCATATGTGGACATTCTTAGTGGCATATAGCTTTTTTTTTTTTAAAATAGATTTAGAAATCAAAGCTGGAATATCCCACATGAGGCAAGTGATTATGGTCTCTCCTTGTTTTTAGGATTACCGAATGTATTCGCATGCTGCTTGGTCAGCTAATTGTTACCTTTTTGGTTAATGTTAGGTTGTTAAAACCCCATCAGATGCCATGTTATTTCAAAAATCTTCCTCGGATACCTCAATCTTCGGCTTAATGACAGAACTTCTTTCTCTATTTTCAGTGCTTTGTTTTTCAAAAGTGTCATGATTTTGGTCTCGCCTCCTTGTTTTTGAGGCTTACCAAATGTATTTGGATGCTTCTTGGTCAGCTAATTGTTACCTTTGTGCTTAATGTTAGGTTGTTAAAACCGTATCAGATGCCATGTTATTTCAAAAATCTTCCTCAAATACCTTAATCTCTTTCGTCTTAATGACGGAACCTCTTTCTCTATTTTCAGTGCTTTGTTTTTTAAAAGTGTCGAGTATCAATCACATGACATGTTTCTCGGATTGCTTGAAATTTATCATTCTTCTCAAATTCGGTGGCCAAGCTTATTTTTCGGTCTCTTTTTTTATATTAAAGCAGCTTGTAATGGCTTTGTTTATATCTCGTTTCATTATATTCTTTGTAATTAGCTAATAGTTAAACTTATAGTTTAGCCAAGTTGGTTATTTTACGTTGTAATGACTGATTTTTGTGTGAAATATAACTCTATTTTTTTTGTTTTTTTTTTTTAATTTGAAATGGTTATACACACAGAAAAAAAAAACTTAAAAATTATTATAGTTATGTGACAAAAATTTGGATACTAATGTAAGAATCTCTAAATATGTGTGTATACATTTAATTTAAATTTAAAATTTCTATTTTCATATTATTTATTTTAGTTTTTTATTATTTACAAAAAATTTATATATAATTTCTTTATCTTTATTAATTTTTAAAAATAATAATGGAATTTGGAAAAAAAATTAATTTTCAATGTTGAGGTGGACCAATAAAAAATTTATATTCTTTGTAAACTTTTTTATTCAGCAATAATTAGAATTTGTAAACTTTCTTAATTTATTTATTTAGCAATAATATTAAAAATTTGTAAACTTTCCTTATTTTTGATTGTTGGTGTGGACCAATAAAATTGCTCTTTTTAATCCTATGTAGACACCTTTAGAAGCATTTAGCTTCAACCTTTTATTAGTATAAGATGAAGAAGAAGGAAAAGGTTAAACAATTTTGAAAGTTGTGTGAGAAGCACTGAAAAGTGGTTTATTACTAAACCATAAGAAATAGACGTTAGATTTTAGTTAACATTTTAGTTAGATTTTTTTTTCTATTTCGAAGACATTAGAAATGGTAAATTTCTAGTTTTTTTTTTTATAAAAACGTTTTTGGTTTTTTTTTCTGAATTTCGGTTTAATCTCATTTTAAAAAACTGTTTGATTGAGAATAGAATTAAGCATTTAACCATAACAATTTAGACATGTTTGTTTTAAGTGTTTTTTACGCGTCATCAGATAAGAACCAATCAAAAATTGATACATAATTGGAAAATAGGCTAAATGGTTTTTTTGTAACCGAAACTCATTTTAGAGCTGACACGTAAGCGAAAGATTCTGAAACTCACTCTGAACGCGACACATCAGCAACTTTTTGTTTGTTTTAAAACGACATTTCATTACTTTTTAAACAGTTTCCAATTTTTTTTTCTTTTAACATTTTTGTTAGATTCTTTCCAAATTTCGGAAACATAAGAAATGGTAAATACTAAAAGATATATACTCTATTTTTTTTTTTGTAAAAAAATGTTTGTGTTAATGTTTTTCTAAATTTTGGTTTACATAATTTTTGTTAAAAAAATTGACATAGTATATGTTAATACTTGTTTAGAAAAATATTAGTATATGTTTTACCTGATGACCCCATGAAATTTTTAGTTAGAATGAAGAAGGAAAATGTTAAACAATTTTGAAAGTTGTGAGAGAAGCAATGAAAAGTGGCTTATATTTATACTAAACCATAAGAAATAGACGTTAGATTTTAGTTAACATTTTAGTTAGATTTTTTTATTTCGAAGACATTAGAAATGGTAAATTTCTAGTTTTTTTTAACAAAAACGTTTTCAGTTTTTGTCTTTCTAAATTTTGGTTTAATCTCATTTTAAAAACGATTTGATTAAGTACAGAATTAAGCATTTAACCATAATAATTTAGACCAGTTTGTTTTAAGTTTTTTTTAACACTTCATCAGATAAGAACCAATCAGAAATTGACACATAATTTGAAAAATAGGACTAAATAATCTTTTTGTAGCCGAAACTCATTCTAGAGCTGACACGTCAGCGAAAGAAGAGGATGGAATATCGAACAAAGAAGACCTAATGCTTAATTAAAAACCAAAGAAGAGCATATAAGGGCAACCAAAATTTTTTCTCACGTGCAAGAAGGAAAAAAAAAGGAAAAAATTTAAGAAATTAAAAAAAATAATGGAATACTAACATAAATTGAAGAAAGCTGCTTCATATATTAACATAAAAAATATGGAATGTTAGTATAAAAAATTTAAGGACTTAAAAAAATATTAATTAAGTACACAAACATTACCTCTATTAATTTATACTATAAATTAATAATTTTAATTTATAGATAAATTAATATCACGATAAATTAATAATATATCATGGTTTCGAAATTATTAATTTATAGATTTTTTACTGTACTATTAGTTTAAAGTCACAAAAAATTATTTAGTGTAAAAAATTATACAATTATATATGAAAATTATCAAATATGAGTGAACATTGAATTTATTTTTTAATATGTGTGAAAATTCTAAAAAAAATCTCTCTCTTAGAAACAGAAGAAGTAATAAACCATATGTTTATCAAGAGCGCAATAATTGCTATATTTATTTATCCTACTTAGCTTAAGCTAACAAATTTAGTGTTAGTTAACTTTTCCGTGTTTTGCGCGGGCTAATATAATTTCCATTTGATTGTTTGAAACTTTAATAATAATTTGGATTCATTTGTTTTTTTATTTTTGAGAATATTTGTTTGTTAGATTTCATTACATATTAATGTTGGAAGACATGATCGTGAAAACAGTATAGAATAAAAGAGAGTAAATAAAAATATAGTAGTATCTAAATAATTTAGTTTAAATAGTTTGAGATATTTTGATCATTGTTCTATGTATTTTAGACGTAATTTTTGCAAGTACCGTATGCACTTATTCAATTTTGATCACTGTTTTATGTGTTTTAACCATCACAAATATCGTCAATCCATTAGTTAAATATTTCTTTTTCAAAAAAATCAGCTTTTTGTTTGTTTTAAAACGACATTCCATTACTTTTTAAACAGTTTCCAATTTTTTTTCTTTTAACAATTTTGTTAGATTTTTTTCTAAATTTTGGAAACATAAGAAATGGTAAACACTAAAAGATATAGATTCTATTTTTTTTTGTAAAAAAAAATGTTTGTGTTAATTTTTTCTAAATTTTGGTTTACATAATTTTTGTTAAAATAAATTGACATAGTATATGTTAATAATTGGTTAGAAAAATATTAGTATATGTTTTACCTTATGACCCCATGAATTTTAGTTAGAATGAAAAAGAAGGAAAATGTTAAACAATTTTGAAAGTTGTGAGAGAAGCAATGAAAAGTGGCTTATATTTATACTAAACTATAAGAAATCGACGTTAGATTTTAGTGTTTAGTTAGATTTTAGTTAGATTTTTTTTTATTTCGAAGACATTAGAAATGGTAAATTTCTAGTTTTTTTTTATAAAAACATTTTTGGTTTTTTTTTTCTAAAGTTTGGTTTAATCTCATTTTAAAAACGATTTGATTGAGTACAGAATTAAGCATTTAACCATAATAATTTAGACCGGTTTGTTTTAAGTTTTTTTTTTTAACACGTCATCAGATAAGGACCAATCAAAAATTGACACATAATTGGAAAATAGAGCTAAATGGGTCTTTTTATAGCTGAAACTCATTCTAGAGCTGACACGTAAGCGAAAGACTCTGAATTCGCTGTGAAGGCGACACATCAGCAAATCACTACACAAAT